GGGGGGCGGGCGGCTGAGCCGGGCGGGGTTGTTCCAAGGTGCGGGTTAGCAAACGGGTAAGTGAAGAGCGAGGAGCGACGATAAATCGGCTGAAGCCTGGCCTAAACGCTAATCCCGTCGCTAACATCTGGTGGGGAGTGAAATTGTTCCGAAGAGGCCAATCTCGTTTACACTGCCGCTGTGCTTCAGGACTCGGTGTTTTTAACCCCGGCCGGAGGAGGTTCCGTAGGTAGCGAGCGGCTGGAGAGCGTTGACCCTGGGAACAGGCAGCGGCATGGACAGTCCCGCGTGTCCTGCGCAGAAAACATCCGTGATGTTAATTAAAGTTGGCACGTCAATCGCTGCAGTTTCAAGCGAGGCTGATGCCCAGATGGCATTAACGACATCCTCCCCAGCGGGGATTTTGAGAGGATCCCTGCTTGCTACCTTTCTCAAAGGCTTCAAAGGGGGACGAAGTGTTACACGAACCTTGCCCAGCCCCTAAGCAGGGGGATTTGGCCAGGCTGGACACGCACCCCATACCTTGGCCCACCGCTCAGTGGGGGCAAATTGTCCAGCCCACCTTGCCCACCGTGGTCCTGCCCTCTCCACTGAAGAGTTTCCAGGCTGCTCCTACCAGGTGTTTCACTTGCTGTTCAGCTCTGTGTACTCAGGGTATGGTGTTTAAATGTTCAGAGCAGAGGCAGATCAAAGCCAGGAGCCTTTGATTTTTATTTATTTATTTGTTGATATCCCCCCCACCACACATGCACTATATTTAAGTCTTTTGTTTTCACGCGTGTCAGGGCTCAGGCAGGACAGCAAATTCGTTGGGGCTGGCACTGTTGGTCACTCTGTATTAGTATCACAAATACCGCAGTCCTGCTAAAATGAATAATCAGGTCATAATTTAAGTACTACCTTTTCACCCACCTCTCCACACCTCCCTCCCCCCCCTTAAAATTGGCACAATATTTATTCTTCATCCTTTTTCTCAAGTGTACCAGATGTACTTTTCTTCAAATTTTACAAACTAATATAAACCAAACCTCAACTTTACTAACCATCAATTTCAGGCTTAAGAAATGAAAGTTCTGGAAACGGAAATTCTGCAAAGCGTGAGGAACTGAAATAGAAAATCTCAAACCACCTCAGCTGTAGTTACCTCTTCAGGTGCAGTATCATGCGATACTTGTCTTCCAACCATCTCAAACATTTCTTATTACTCATTTATTCTAATAAGCTGTATTTTCTCTGTTAACCTTCATCCCAACAGGAGCCACAGCCAGAAGAACCCTCAAATGATCAATTGTCCCCTAAGGGCTGAACTTCGAAAACAAGCAGGAGGAGTCATATTAAACTCCAGTAAATGTGACCTGAAGATTAAAGACAGGGACAATTTCAGTATAACATTGTGACAATTCTCAGCAAGCTTGACAAAATGATAAATACAATTTGTTCCTTGTAATCCATGTTATTATTAATTAACATGGTTCTTTGGGGCTACACTGTACTTGGATTACCTTTCTTAAAATGAAGATGCACACAAAAACATCAGCACATTGCAGAGTTAGGATTCGAAGAAAACAGAACAAGCTCCAAATTACTTCCATCAAATGCTTCCATATTCATATAAGGTAAACTTGCCTCTCTGCTGACTAAAATATTTTAGGAAGAAAATATGTTCTGATTATCATCTTCAGGGCATTTTCAGTGACGTTTTATGGCAGTGGTTTAAAATAAAAAGCTTAGTCATTCAACATTTTAACTGAAAGCTACATATTATGCAAGCAGTTTATCAAACCCATTGAGATACCTGCCTAGTAGTAATGCAACAATAAATAATGATTGCATTTAAAGAGATTTGTATCATTGGTATTGTCAGGTCTGACTGAAATGTTACGAGCCTTAAGGTTAAGTATATGAAGGCAATAAAAAGTTAGGTGAAGCACGCTCAAGAGAGTTGTATTTCCCAAGTGGAGCTGGGGGCAGAGACTTGTAATGATGACGGCTGTAGCCAGCTCACTGCATGGCGGCAAGCTGAGGGCGGCATTTGGCGAGTTGGGAGCCAGGCAGGAGGTTTTGCACTGCAGCAGAGTTAAACAAGTAAAATACAAATGACACCATTTGAATTTGTAATGTCCCTCAGCACACACCAGCTGAAGAACTCTAAAGGAGAAAGAAAACTATGTGGCACGTGGTTATCATATTTGCATGCATGTACACGCTCACTTTTCCTCTCTCTGAACCACGCTGTCCTCTCAGCTGCTGAGGGATTCAGGAGTGGATTCAGTTAGCCATGCTACCATTTGATGCTTTGTCAGAGAACAGATCTACAACCTGAGCCTCACCAGGAGGTCACTTATCATTCAACTTCTAGAAGTTTTTATAGTACCTAGGCAGTAAGAAGAGCCTATTCCTGTTAACTGTGATTCCCTCATTCATCCAGTCACTGGCAGAGTTAGCTTTTGAACCCTGAAATGTTTATTTCTGGGTGGGGATTGTTTTATTTTGTTTTGTTTTTATACCCTTCCGGCTGCAAAGGAAACCTCTTCAGCCCAGCTCAAAGCTTATTCATCATGAAAAGCCTATTTTGCTAGCTTTTGGACCATAAACATTCTTAACACATGTAAAGGCTCGAATAGGTCTCCATGAGTGCTTATAACCTGAGCTTGTCTTGGCCAGAGATGCAGACACAAAGGCCAAGAGCCTCACATGGATGATGGAGGTCAGAGTTCAGTGTTGCTTTGCCCAGTTCCATCATGTCTCTTCCTGTAATAGAAGCCCTGGCCCTGAATTAGGCAGGCAGGCGATCTACATAGTGTAATGGGAGAGAGAAGTACCAAAGAGGCAGGTATCTATGACATTTTGAAACACGGCCAACTGGGCCACTGTGAGACGCTTCACAGCCTGGGATACTGAGGCAGCGATGCAGAGGCATCCTCAGGAGGTGAAGTACTGCTGAATTTCTTCTTTCATTAGACATCAGGGATGGGAAAGCTTTGTCCTTGTATAAGTGCTTTATTCCTCTAAAG